TTTCCACTTCTCATAATAATATATAATTTGATTCAACCATTGTGAAAAATAATTTAGACAGGTGGCTCATGTCTATAAGGGATCCCTCAAGGGATCCTCCAGGCTTGGCCTCCCAGAGTACCAAGGCAGGAGGATCTCTTGAGGCCAGGAGTTCAAGACCAGCCTGGGCAACATAGCGAGACTCTATTAGTACGAAAAAAAAAAAAAATTAGGCAGGTATAGTGATGCACCTGTAGTTCCAGCTACTTTAGAGACTGAGGTAGTAGGATTGCTTGAGCCCAGGATTTTGAGGCTATAGTGAGCCATGACCATGCCACTGAACTCCAGGATAGATGACAGAGCGACAGAGCAACACATCATCTCTAAAAAGAGAGTAAGAAAGAAACACACTTTACAGAAAACACTAACTCTTTGAATAACCAATGATTGTTTTCCCATCCCCACCAGTGTAAGCCCAAGTGATCACTGCCATTCCACAGGAAACAGTATTATCATTGGTAGAGAGTAGCATGTCTCAGAGTTCGTTCCACAAATTTTACCAAGTTTGAGACACTAGGACACTTTACCAAGAACGTAAAGTGGCTTCCTTATTTAATGACTCCTCAAACCTTTTAAAACTTTTCATTTTTTATGGATTGCTAGGAGGGGGTGAGTTACGAAATTTAATGGACCCCTTTTTTCAGAGCATCTTCGATAGTCTCCCTGGAATATATTTTGGGAGACATTGAGAAGATTTAAGAGGTTGGGTTGAATTGATACTCAGTTAAGGTCAACCGTGGCCAGGCAGGTGGCTCATGCCTGTAATCCCAACACTTTGGGACGCCAAGGCGGGAGGATCATGAGGTCAGGAGCTTGAGACCAGCCTGGCCAACATGGTGAAACCCCATTTCTACTAAGAATACAAAAATTAGCCTGGTGTGGCGGTGGGCACCTATAATTCTAGCTACTTGTGAGGCTGAGACAGGAGAATCACTTGAAACTGGAAGGCGGAGGTTGCAGTGAGCTGAGATCGCACTCCAGCCTGGGTGAAAGAGTGAAACTCATCTCAAAAAAAAAAAAAAAAAAAAGCCAACCCTGACAAGCCATTTTATTTAAGATAAAATCCCTATTGTTTTCTCATAACTTTTTCTTATAATAATAGAGAAAAGGGGGAGGATCTCAGTTAATGGAAGGTTTTTATTAGTTGGATTACCTGAGGTACAGGAGTCAGAATCTAGCCTTGGTTAGCGTCCCTCAGGGCCAGCCAAAGGAAATCAAGACATTGGCAAACTGTTGGATCTTAGGCCTCTTTTCTCCTTGGCTGGTTTGCTCAGTTTGTGCCCCTATCACAAACAAGCTGGCAGGAAAAGATCTGAAAACTCATTTGCTCTAAGATGGTGTTTGTTCATTTGCTCAATTGGACAAACTGTTATTTAATGAACAATTTCTAACTTTATTGCTTTGTGCTGGGTCCCTGAGGTGGTCCCAGAATAAATGCAAGGCTCCAGTGCACTCTCCAGCAGCCTCTGATCTCCTTAGGAGGATAAAATATGCCCAGCAGTGAGCTAACAATGTAACTGTGATTTAGTGACAAGATGAGACTTAGGCTACTGTTACTTCTGCCTGGTAGCTCCTCTCTTGGGAGTCTACTTTTTAACCCTCCAGTAATGCTTTATTGGGAGCTCTTGTTGTGGAATTTCCTCAATTCCACAAACCAATATAAAGAGGCATTTTCCTTCTTTTCTTTTTTGGGAGAGCAGGTATTCTTTTGTAGTTGGCTCTGGGTGACTCCCACGGTGAGGCCAGCCAGCTGCTTTAGGGTATCAGAGAGGGCTGGCCTGCTGGACCACCACAGGTAGTGCTTCAGTAGCCTTTAGCTCCACCTAAGGTTTATTTCTGCTAATTGCAATAATCTTGTCAATAATTCACAAATGAGGGAGAAAAGGCCCAATCTACTTTATTTTTTTGTCCCAGTCCTCTTTTCACCTCGAAGTTGGTCTTTAGTACATTGTGGCCACAAATTCCTTTTGCAGAAGGCAAAATCACTAGGTTCTCAGTTTGAACACTGATGAGTAGTTTCTTGGAGCAGTCTAAAAAGAAACGTTTTTGACAGCAGCTAAAAAGAGGACATATTAGAAATGCCAAATCGCTGTTCTAAAGCATTGCCTTCTGGCAAGGGACTGAACAATTTAGACTTCAAGGATATGTAGAAATGTTTTGAAAGTTCTTGTTTAAATGTGATCTCAAGAAGTTAGAAGCAGGAAGTCAAGCCAACTAGATAAACTTTAAATGCATAGAATTTCATCTTGAAATCTTACTCAAAAAAAGTAGTTTTATAATCAAATACTACAGCCAAATGCTTATTTACAAAGATGTTCGTCTCAACATTATTTATAGTGGTAAAAAATGTGAAAACCATTTTAATGTTCAGTGGATAAGTGGTTCATTAAATAAAGTCAAACAGACATAAAAATTATGAAAAACAAAGTCTCATTCTGTCACTGATATAGTTTGGATATTTGTCCCCCCCAATATTGTATTGAAATATAATCCTCAGTGTTGGAGGTGGGGCCTGATGGGAGGTGTTTGGATCATGAAAGAGAATTTTTCATGAATCACTTAGCATCATCCCCTTGGTGCTGTCCTCATGATGGTGAATGAGTTATTGTGAGATCTAGTTGTTTAAAAGTATCTGGCACCTTCCCCCATCCTCTCTCTTGCTACTGCTCTTGCCATGCGACATGCCCGCTCCCACTTTGCCTTCTGACATGATTGTGGGCTTCCTGAGGCCTCCCCAACAGCCAGGCAGATGCCAGTACCATGCTTCCTATAAAGCCTAAAGAACTGTGAACCAATTAAACCTTTTCTTTATAAATTACCCAATCTCAGGTATTTCTTTATAGCAACAAAAAAATGCCTAACACAGTAACCCAGCTGGAGTGCAATGGTACAGTCATAGCTCACTGTACCCTGGAAACCTGAGGCTCAAGTGATCCTCCCACATTGGCCTCCTAAGTAACTGGGACTACAGCCATGAACTACAACACCTGGCTAATTTTTTCAATTTCGTAGAGATGGGCTCTTACTATGTTGCCCAGGGTAGTCTTGAACTCCTGGCCTCAAGGGATCTTCTTGCTTCAACCTCCCAAGCACTAGGATTACAGGTGTGAACCATCATGACTGGCCAAAAATTGGGTTTTTAAAGAATTCTTATCTATATTGTTTAGAATATGTATATATGTGCATAAAAAAACACTGTAAAAAATACTATTAACATGTTAACAGTGGATTTCTCTACTAATAATGAATTCTATTTTAAAATTTCTTTTGCTTTCAGAACTTCTATAGTAAGAATGTATCTCATCTTCATAATCAGAAAAAATTTTTAATGAGTATTACTGTTACAAATAATTTACATCTAAATATATAAGGTTAATGTGATGAGAATTAACTGAAACAATGTGACTTCAATAGAATAAACTGCTACTGTGTTTTTGCTGTAAATATTGTTTCTGTCCTTCAAAAGGCTAAATATATTTGTAGTAATAAAAGCATGTAGAGTTGCTTTTTTTTTTTTTCTGTGCTTCTGTGAAATATGGCTTACCATTGGCATTTCTGTGAGGCAATAGAAAAGCTGTTCTCCATCACTGTTTACCAAATTTTCACAAATCCCTCTTGGAAAAACTAGTAGAAATCATGGTAATGCTAAGAAACCGTGATCCTCCTTCACCTACTCTCCTGGGCTAAAAAAATTTCAGTGCTAGGCTGTGTGATCTAAAATAAACCTCCAGGGCAAAATATTAAAATTAGGGACTGGTTTTCTGCCAGCAAGACTGACACAGAATAGTCTTCTTACTGTTGCAATGGAAACAAAAGTGGAAAAAGAACAGAAAACCCTAGGCAGTTCATAATTAGCTAGAGCAACTGGATGAATTCAGCAAATTCTAAGTAAGTTAGAAATATACAAGACATTGTCATATAATCTAGAAAGAGCCACTTTACTGTCTAAGATTTTAAGTAAACATCTCCAAGTTGGTGCCAGAGGCATTAAGTGGCAGTCCTGTTTCTTTAAAATAGCATCAAAATCTTTTTTACATATTGAGCAGCAAAGCTGGAGGGGCCGCTTTCATGTATAGCAGCAAATTCCAGTGCTTCATTTAGAATTAAATTATTTACCTCAGGGTTCCAGACAGTCTGGAACCCCAAAGTAAGCCCTTCTCCTGGGTGGCAGCTTGCTGCAGAGAAAAGAGAGTTTGAAAACTCAAAAGCACCGGACAAATATAAGGGCTTATTATCTTTCTTCCCCAACTATGGGGCAGTCAAGAAAAATTAACCCTCTCATTTGTTAACCTCAATAACAGGGTATAACTGATCTGTAGCCACGGATGGCTCACATAATCGCCCTAATTAGTTTGGTATGAAAAGAGGCTGGGGTGGGGATTTGGAGCTCAAATAATTAAGCCAAAAGAAAAAGAAAAGAAAAAAGAGCTTATGTCTTACAGATTTGACATATGGATTCCAGATGTTATGGAAGAAATTTTACTGCTAAGGCTTTTCGGCCACTTTTTGTAGTTAAGGACAGGATTGGAAGGAAAGGCCTCAAGGCAGAACAGGCTAAAAAAGGAGGGAAAGATCCTATTGATCATTACCGAACACCACAGGGCAAATGTATGTGTAACGGTATATGTCTCCAAACTGAAAGCTAGCAGCGGGGTCTTAAAATGCCCCTAGACTGGGGGTGTTGGGGAAAGGCCTTGAAGGAGTGATTTCTGAGTTGGCTTGCTTGGAGCTTTGCTGGCAGATAAATCACCTCCTCAGTTGGAAGTGATTGCTCTGTTAGTTCACTGCAGTTTCCCTCAGGAATTCTAAATTTAAAATGTGAATGCAAACTTCCCAGCATGCCAGGGAGGGTTGCTAGGATCTGTGTCCCATTTAGAAACAGAGACAGGTAATTATACCAGGAAAAGGGCTTCACTTTTACTTCAATGCCATGTACTAAATTCTCTGTTTCTTCCTTTCAGAAAATGGTAAATGAGGGCAAGAAAGATGCATTCCAGAACCTGCATACCAAAATATTACAGACACACAGGAAATGACTCTTCAAATCCAGGCTGTAAACCTGTCATTTCGTGGGCTTGTCTGCGAGCCTAGAAAAGCTAGGCAAAGATCACACTGAAGACATTCCTGTTTGGGGCTGGCTGTACTGGAGGACCTCTGGAGGCCTTTCCATGCCAGGTACTATGATTCTAAACACAAGCCATAAAATGAAATGTTAGAGGAAAGCCAATGAAATTTGAGGCAAAATTTGTGGCTTAAAGCTTATTTTGCTTTAAAAAAATGCATGCAGACTTCGAAAAACTATACTTTACATGCAATAAAAACTTTTTAAAGAAACTGAAAAGCAAAAAATATTTTTCAGAGGGGGTAATATTCTCATCCCTATTACTATTGTCTAAGGCTTTCAATTACAGATACTCCCAATTTGTAATAAGAGTTTACTAAGTCCTTAAAATATGTATTAAGTTTCCTAAAATGTTTGCATATTGACTTTAATCCATGTGAAAGATGTTTCTGGTGTATTCAACCAATGCTGCTCCTCAGGTTAGTGAAATGGTTTTGGATTCATTAATTCACCAAATATTTGTATTCTGAGTGCCTTCTAAGGGTAAGACATTCTTTGAATCAAACACACACAAAGAACCAAGCAAATCTATTGGTTAATGCAGGCTTTCCTCTCCCCTCCAGCTTCATGTGCTAGACCTGGAGCCAGACTGTGTGGGTTTCCCAGCTGCAGTGCCTTGAGCAAATTACTTAACCTCTCTGTACCAGTTTTCTCCCCGGAAAAGTAGGGTTAGTAATAGCATCTATCTCATCAAACTAAATGAGTCAATACATGTAAAGCACCTAGAAAAATGCCTGGCACATAGCAAGAATTCAATAAATGTTGGCTATTCATTTAGTGCCAAGTATGAGGGAAAGCAATGTAGAGGTAGATATGAAGATAAATAAAGTGCATTAAAGGGAATATTTCAATTGGGTCTTGGTGAAAACACGGAATTCACAAGGTAGTCAAAAAAGGGCCAGGTCAAACAAATGGTGTGAGTGAAGGTACAGAACTACAAAACTAAATAGCATATCTGGGGAACTGTAAATGATTCATTAGAGCTAGATTAAGAGGCGTGTGACATATGCTGCCTCCATCCAAAAGCAAAGATTTAAAAAAAGAGAAAGTGAAAAAAAGAGGCATATGGGAATGAGGCAGTAGAAACTACAGGATTTACTGACCAAACCTATGTGATGGGAAGTGAGGTAGGGCAGATTTCTGGGTTTATGGTGATGTCATCAATCAGAAACAAAATATGGTATGTGGTGTGACTTTTGACGCAATGTGTTTGGACATACAGTATGGAGGGGCCTTTAAGACCCAAGTGGAGATGTACAATTGGATACACAAATCTAGGGTTTATAAGAGCACTCTGGCAAGCCATGCAGTGTAGGGGATCATCAAAGTATTACTTAGTGTGGTAGCCGTGAACTTGGCTGAAATCTTCAATAAGGAGGGTGGAGAATGAGAAAAATAACAATGTAGACGGCACTAACAATCAGGGGCAGCTGGAAAAGAAGCCAGAGAAAATAGAAACAGAATAGCATAAAGCCCTGGAAGAAACCAAAGAATCAGTTTTACATCAATTGATGGTTTTAGTGGAAAATGACAGAAAATCTAATTCAAACTGGTTTACATTGTTAATAAGACATATTGGCCCATATGACTGAAAACACAAGCCTCTGGATGGGGGGATGGCATTAGATCAAGACAAATGAGAATCAACCCTAAGCCAGGGGTGAGGAATTCAGGCCACCTACTTTTAACAGTCATATTGAATGCCTACTGTGCATTGTTCTAGTCAACGAACAAAACAGGCAAAAAGTCCCTCATCTGTGGAGAAAACCTACAAGTACTTCTTGTATCTCCCCATACTCTCTTTTCATTGAAACACAATGCTTCAAAAAATTGGGAAAACTATCTATGTGGAGGAAGATGAAGAGAGAAAATGTTAGAATTTAATGAAAATTCCAAAATATTTGCTGGGAATTTTAACACCATTTTGTAGGAATATGTGGAACTTCTGTACTATTATCAAATGGAAGGGTGACACAGGGAAGCAGTTCAATATGGATACAAATTCTAAAAATCCAAAATACCACCTATAATATGCTTAAAGTCCAGTTATGAATTCAGATTAGTAAGTTTTGACTTAATCAAATTGAGTTGCTGAGTTTATTCGGATCATATAGACCTGTAAAAATACTTACATGTTTCAAATGTCTCTGGTAGAGCTTTGTACCTAAGTTGTATGACATATTTTATATGTAGATTATGTTCAAACCTGCATTAATCCATTTACATTTTAAATTAAAAACACATAATTTGCAATCAAAGAAAGCCTCATGCTCAGCCATCATATCCAACTAAGCACTACCAGTTTCTCCATCCCTCTCTTTTTTGAAGCAAACACATTGTGCATCCATGGGTATATTGTGTCAGCTCACTGGGCCTATTTTCCATTCTCCAATTTGAAAATGATGAGGGCTGGGTGCGGTGGCTCAAGCCTGTAATCCCAGCACTTTGGAAGGCCGAGGCGGGTGGATCACGAGGTCAAGAGATCGAGACCATCCTGGTCAACACAGTGAAACCCTGTCTCTACTAAAAATACAAAAAATCAGCTGGGCATGGTGGCACGTGACTGTAATCCCAGCTGCTCAGGAGGCTGAGGCAGGAGAATTGCCTGAACCCAGGAGGTGGAGGTTGCGGTGAGCCGAGATCGCGCCATTGCACCCCAGCCTGGGTAACAAGAGCGAAACTCCGTCTCAAAAAAGAAAAAAAAAGAAAATGATGAAACTGGCCGGGCGAGGTGGCTTAGGCCTGTAATCCCAGCACTTTGGGATGTCCAAGCGGGCAGATCACGAGGTCAAGAGATCAAGACCATCCTGGCCAACATAGTGAAACCCAGTCTCTACTAAAAATACAAAAATTAGCTGGGCGTGGTGGCACATGCCTGTGGTCCCAGCTACTCGGGAGGCTGAGGGCGGAAGAATCGCTTGAACCCAGGAGGTGGAGGTTGCAGTGAGCTGAGATTGTGCCATTGCACTCAAGCTGGGCGACACAGCAAGACTCCGTCTCAAAAAAAAAAAAAAAAAAAAAAAAGGCCGGGTGCGGTGGCTCACGCCTGTAATCCCAGCACTTTGGGAGGCCAAGACGGGTGGATCACGAGGTCAAGAGATCGAGGCCATCCTGGTCAACATGGTGAAACCTCATCTCTACTAAAAATACAAAAACTTAGCTGGGCATGGTGGCGCGTGCCTGTAATCCCAGCTGCTCAGGAGGCGAGGCAGGAGAATTGCCTGAACCCAGGAGACGGAGGTTGCGGTGAGCCGAGATCGCGCGACTGGGTAACAAGAGCAAAACTCTGTTTCAAAAAAAAAAAAGAAGAAAAAAAGAAAATGATGAAACCTAATTGGATTTTTGGCAAATAAAATACTATTGTGATTAAACTTTTTGAATTCAAAAGCACTACTAGACAGCATTAAACGTTAAGATTAGAAAGTTGCAAGTTTGCAACTGAGTCCAGATCTTAGTATTTCAATGGCGAAAATAGATTGTCAATTTTCTCAGTAACTTTTTTTGGCCAAAGCAGTTGAGTCAGTAATATTTTTCTGATTCCGGTTAGAATGTTTCCCATAAAACTCTGTAATGCTATTTATACTTCAAATTTCAAAACATAGCCCACATGTGCTTAGTTCCTTTCTCAAATTACCCTGTACAAAAAGTTATTCATGCCTGATGTAGTTTCTCTTTTTTAGACTGGATCTTGCTCTTTCACCCATGCCAGGATACAGTGGTGCATCATAGCTCACTACAGCCTTGAACTCCTGGGCTCAAGTGATCCTTCTGTTTCAGCCTTCCCCAGTAGCTAGGACCACTAATGTGCACCACCATGTCTGGCTAATTTTTTTTTTTTTTTGGTAGAGATGAGGTATTAGTCTATTTTCATGCTGCTGATAAAGACATTCCCAAAACTGGGCATTTACAAAAGAAAGAGGTTGAATTGGCCTTACAGTTCCACATGGCTGGAGAAGCCTCACAATCATGGCAGAAGGCAAGGAGGAGCAAGTCACATCTTATGTGGATGGCAGTAGGCAAAGAGAGTTTGTGAAGGGCAACTTCCTGCACTGTTGGCTTTTAAAACCATCAGATCTCATGACTCACTATCATAAGAACAACACAGGAAAGACCCACCCCATAATTCAGTCACCTCCCACCACATGTGGGAACTGTGGGAGTTACAATTCAAGATGATATTTGGATGATGACACAGCCAAACCATATCAGGGTCTCCACATGTTGCCCAGGCTTAACTTCCTTAAAGAGGAGGAAACAATCAGAAATATCAAGTGACTCAATTCTCTAAAAAAAAAAAGATACTCAACAGAGGATTTTTCTTATGTATATGGATTTTTAAAACTTTTTCCCACTAGGTTTTCACTAGCTCAACCAAACTTTACCTCAGTACTCACACAGAACTTGTGCAAACATGTCTGCAGGACATCTATGAAGGGGAAAATAATCCATTCTCTAACGTGATGATGTAGAGTGATATGAAAGTCCATTTTCCAACCAGGAGATACAAATGGCTGAGTCCGACTTGCTCCAAAATATTTAGCCTCTTCCTTCCTTAGTCCTGTCTTCCCCCTCATAAAATGTACTCTGCACATTTCTCAGAAGAGAGGGAAAGGGAGAGAGAGGTACAGAAAAAGAGGGAGAGTGAAGGAGAGGGAAAGAGGGAAAGGAAAAGAGAAAAGTTTGCTTTCATGCTAATGTAAGACCCTTGCAATATTTAAGCAACTTCTGAGATATCTGCTCTACCAATACATGCATCCAAGTTTTAGATTTCTCCAGAGCTCGGGAATCACCTCACAAATATAACTTGATTTGGTTGTATTGTGCTTGGTATCACGTCATACTAGGGTATTGCTTTATCACTGGATGCTACTCCCTAGTATATTTTCCCAAATTCATCGCAGACTTCAGTCTTAAAAAAACATATTCTTGCTTTAGCAATTACTTTAATTTTGGGATCCATATATTTCCAAACCTAGAGGATGGGCAGTATAGAATTGGTTTTTCTAAACTCGAGATATGCTGGAAGCTATCATACTGTTACGCATCTTCTTCATTCCACAAAGCACCATGGCTGGTGCAATCACTTTTAATGACTTTTATATATTTTAATCTACTTGATACATATGCCTAAGTCTTGCATAGTTCTTCAAATTTTGTTTTTCACAGCAGGGAAAAACAGATTTTTTTTTAAAAAAGGCTCAGA